AAAAAAAAAGCTTGGTTAAGTGTGACCAAGCGCAAGGCGTATTAGCGTGATTGATATGTCAATGTATGTCTCTGATCATTCGACGAACGTAATTTGGCGCGTTTGAACAAGAGAATAAAAAAAAAGAACACACACTTGTCAATCCAAAAGGATGAGGAACGAAAATATTCAAAAGAAAGATATTTTCTATTTCTAAATTATCCGGAAAAAAAAGATTAATTTAAAATTTAAATTCAGTTTTTTAAATTTTTATCCTAGGGGATAATTTCACATTTATATCTTCACGTCACTAACCTCTTACATATGTTATTATGACTGACAAATGAGCACGAATAAACCTTATTCTCTAAGGCATTCGACAATTGCTTTTTGATTACTCTAGATATGAAGAAAATAAATTTTTATTGTCACACACATATATACACACACATTTAATTTAGCTCATGCATTATCTAAAATGACTTTTTTAAAGCTTGTCTGCCCTGCTGGCTAATTGTATATATGTGTATATACGACAAATCTCTCGCGACAAATCTTTTTCGTTGCACATATAAATGCGCGAGAAACATACACTTATTGATAACCGCGACTGAACAAGGTGTGTAAATGTACACGTAGTATTACTCAATCGATAATTGGGAATCCCATCTGGAATAACGACGATAAAAAAGAAAATTTATTCAATGTGTGAAATACAGTGACAGCAGCTCAATCGCTGCAATTCACTATTTACGCTTGATATATTGACTGTTCACATCTCTGTCGGTCAGTTTGTCACTTATGTAATCAATTTGTTTCATACAGATCAAACTATTTTGTTTTTATTTCTTTTTTTCCATCGGATGTGATATAGAAAATGTTCTATTTGAATTTAACAAATGCAAGGCAAGAAAAAAAATAATTTCATATAATCATTTCCTGTAACAGTTTGTTCAATAAATATGATTAGTTTTCTCTATATCATCGTATCTAATTGTTCGATAAGTTCAACTTCTTCTTTCTTTTTGACAATTGATCAATGAAGTGCCATTTTTGACAACTAATTGATCAGTAGTTTCTTTCTGCTATTTTGGTCTTAATACGAAAAGTTGTCATGCAGTCAAGAATATTTGTCTTATCCAATGACCGATAGTTAATCCGATATAACTCTTTCTCTCTCTCCCTCTTGAACAACGGTCAAGAAATGACGTAAGTAAACCAATCGGTTTCTTTAAAGAAATTATGTCAATGTTTAACGATATCGGGTTGGCTAAATTTCGTAATCGAACAGAGGAAAACGGGCGGTGGCGAGACGATGAACACGTAATTTCAAGGTCAAGGTGGAACGAGAGAGAGAAAGAGGAAGAAGAGAGAGAATTATATTTTTTCGTTTCTCTCTCTCTCTCGTTCTCTTTCGCTAACAATTGATATCAGCAAAACTCTTAAGTTTAACGCAACACAATTGTTCAAGCACGCGCACATTGAGCAACAACAACAACAATAACAAATATCGCGTAATTCTAAGCCAACGTCTGACGTAAGATAAAATATCTATAGATTATTTGTTTCGTAAGTAAACGAAAAGAAATAAATATAACGTAAGTAGAAATTATATTTTATTTATCTATCTATTCAATTCATCGATGATCAATATCTATGGGTGGTAAACATTTTTAAACAAAAAAAAAATAACTAACAAGATTTTTTTCCCAAATAATTTTTTATATGTATGTAAACCTTTAATCATATTTCAGTTTGATCACCAATCATGCAAACTTCCATGTATCCTCACCATTCAACTGGTTATCCATCATTTTTATCCTATGCTCCAACAGCACAACGAAAATCTGATTATGGAATGTCACTTCATCATCCACATCATTATTTAAATGATTCAATTGGTGCAAATACTTCATCAAGTAGTCCATCATCAAATAACAGCTCAGCACATTTATTATCCTATAGTGGTTACAGTACTGGTCTTGATTTATCTTCACATAATAATAATCTTAAAAGACCACGAAGTGATATAGATGATGATGAAAATAATAATGATGACCGTCAAACTTCATCATCACCATCAACATCAATTCTAGGAGATATTACTGCAACAGCTAATGGTCAAAAAATGCTTCACCATATGAAACAAAATTATACACAAAATGAATTATGTCCATCATTACCATTTAAAAAACGTGCTCGAGCTGTACCACCTGAACAAAAAGATCAAGCTTATTATGACAAACGAGAACGTAATAATGAATCTGCTAAACGTTCACGTGATGCACGTCGTCAAAAAGAACAACAAACACAAGATCGTTTAACATATTTAGAACATGAAAATTCACGTTTGTTAATGGAAAATCAAGCACTTAGATATCAACTCTCTCAACTTCATGCATTATGTGGTGTATCGAAACCATTACAATAAACTTTATATAAATAGACATTTTCTTCTATTTTTTTTTCTGTGTGTTTAAAAAATATTAAATAAATATAGTTTATTACGTTATTCTATGAAGAAACAAAAAAAAACGGATTTTTGCTATTGCCTGCAGGTAGTAATGAGCTCAAGTGGACAGTGCTCAGATAGCCTACTGCGTTTTCGAGTGCTTGAGACAAACAATACAACTACAAGACATCCTGTGGTGTTCAGTCATCCATCATCAGAAGTGTGTGACATTTTTTTT